TAGCAAGGCCCTGTTACCTCAGCCTGAGGTCACAGATGGCGTGTGAGCAGATCTTCAAACCTGCAGACCATCTAAGGGAAGGGACGTCTCCTTGTAAGTTGAAAGGCCAGGCCCCACACATGTGCACACCGACTATGTCTGTTCTTTGAGATTCTTTGTTCATCATTGTACTCGAAGCAGCAAGTTTCCGGATCCTGCATGTCATGCCAAGCTGCTGGGCTATACACACAGGGCTTGAGGTCTTGGATCATTCTACTTAACTCTTTAAAACACGGTGGAGGTGGACTGTCAAATGCCAGCAGGCTTTAAGAAAGGAAATACCAAGGGTTTGTATTGTTGGAGCTTGCTTAGATTTGCTTCTGAGCCTCAGGAGTTTTAAATCATGTATTTAAGCACATAAACTTTAGTTACAGAATGGGGCTTTTGGTTAGTAAAATTTTCACATATAAAGGCAATTAGTCTTCAGCAGTTCTAACAACAATAACACAGATATGCCAAATTTATTCTTGATTCGGAAGGTACTGCAGGATCCTGCAATGCTTTAGGGTCATTGGTGGAGAATCCAAATTCTGTTCTGTACAATTCTGAAGTACCGTACCATGTGTCGTAAGTGGCAAGAATGCCAAGAGGCAGATGTTTCCGGTAGATGAGGGCCAGATAACCAGCCTTCCTCCATTTTGACAAACCAGTTTTCACTATGGCCAGTCTTCTTGGGACTTCATCATGAGGGAAATTTGCTGAGGTCTTGAGAAATCACCCTGATTAGGCTGATTGTCCTTCAGAGAAATGAGTATTCAGTAGCTAGAAGGAACAGTGAGGTACTCATCTTAACAGTTCTTTAGGGCGTATGTTTGAAAACCCTCATATCTCAGATCTGTGTAGCGGGTACATGCGATTGATTCCACATTACGTACATACACTGTTGTCGTGCTCACTAAAAGGAGGGGAGTGAGAGAGGAGTTTATCAGATCTTTCCCTGTGGTGAATGGAAGCTGTGCCCTGGTTAGTGTGTTTGCCATGAACAGGCCGACTGAGCTGTTACTGCATGCTCAGAACCCCCTGTCTCCTGGGTAGACCCCACGCTTTTCCTTCTTTGCAGTCTGATTCTGTCATGACTATCAGTGGAGAAACCCCAGTTTTGTGCTTGCCTGGCAAAAATAAGTTTGAACATTTCAAGATGGTTGATGGAAGTTTGTCCTTAAAACGTATGATTCAGATTCTTTAAAACTTGTTTAATATTTATACCAAAGGTCACGCTCTGCAGGTGTATGTGTGGTGGGTGCACAGAGGGGGAAGTCTGGAGGGCCTACCCCTGTATGCATTGCTAAGGGGACACAGTGAGACAATATGGGATTTAATTGAAAACACATCAATCATGGGTCACACTACCAGTGTTGTCAGGTATTTGTTCTTAATTGTTATTGTAATATATTTTCAGGTGTTTTGTTTTTCTAATTTAATACTTTCACCCTGTTGTCTGACTGTGAACTGCTAACAGTGTTAAACTTGATGTAAATAATGAGGAGGCCCTTGAAAGGGGAATGCTGTCTGCCTGTTGTCTCACAAGGCTTGCCAACTTGTGTTTTATTTTAAATAAAGGTTGCAATATTTTATTGGCAATGTGGGCTTGTGATTGGAGTGTTTCTCCTATAATTTTAACTGATGGGTAATCTAAGTATAATTTCTCTCTCTCTCTACATAAAATAGATATCTGTAAGGTAAAGAAGCTGATTTTAGCAAGCATCCCTCTGGCATATTCTTTAGAGTGGTCCTCTATGGGGGTGGCTACTCACCCTTTGATGGATTACAGTTTTGGAAATGGCCAAAGGCATCATCTGGAGCCCAGCTGATACATAAGGTGGGTGATGTGTGTGTGGGTCTGTCCATCCATCCAACATGAGGTGACTGTAAAATGAGGCTTAATTCTCTCAAAGTTCATTCTGAGGACAGTTTCAAATAAGTTGTAAAAATGTTTTGAGCCAAAGCAGCATTAATGGAGTAAGTGTAGAACCTCACAGGGAACATTCTAGTCTTGTTTGACTTGGTCTTCAATTTAAAAAAAAATGAATGACTCATTGCTTTTAGAAGTAACATTTTAATTCAGGATGAGTAGGATATACTCAAGCGATGCACACATACGGTCCAATTAGAATGGCTGTTGTAGGGGAGCAGAATTTGCCACCCCAAAATATGCCTCTTTGGCATAAGGGTTATTTTAAGCTGGTTATCTTTAAGAAACTGCAGACACAGGCGAAACCTGAGTAACTAAGTTACCCTTTTGTAAGAGAGATTTACAGTTGTGAGGGAAATCTCCATTTGTAAGGGTGTCTCCCTTGCTCTACCAAGAAGAGGAGGATGAAACTCTAGAAACTTACCAGTGGAGGTGAGGACTTAAATTTGCATAACAACCTCACAATTGTTTACTGTGCTTTTTCTGGTAACCGTCCATAACTGACATCCCAGCCCCAATATCTGCTTTTGTCTTTAGCTGAAAATAGTAGTTGATAGTTTCTGCCATTTTGGAGTTAGTTTTTCTGGGTCTCTCTCATGTGTACATTTTACTAAACTTTTGTTTTTCTCCTGTTAACCTTATGTCAATTTAATTATTAGGCCAGCCAAAGATGCTAGAAGGGGAAAAGGAAAAATTGTCCTCCCTGGCCCTGTAAGCATCAGTTTATACACCTCCTTAACAAGCCACTTTCAGTCCTTTTCTCCCATGCATTTCTGGTTTAGTTTAGGAAGGCTTGTTTCAGAGTCATTCAAGGAGAACCTCCCATTGTTTCCACCCACTTTCCAACCTCCCATTGTTCCACACACTTTCCACACCCGAGGCTATGGCATTTGCCAAGAAAATCATTTTAGAAACATTAAGTCATTAATGCATAGGAATTGGAGTTGGACTGCCAGGGTTGAATCCCACTCCTTCATTGACTAGCTCTGTGACTTAACCCAAGTTATTTAACCTCTCAGAGCCCCAATTTTCTCAGTCATTAAATGGTGATTAAATTGGTCCCTAAGTGTTAAGTATTACATGAGGTATCGACTAGGCTATAGAGCGCTTAGCACGCAGTATGTTTGCAAATGTTAGTTACCTAAAACAAAACTTGCAGGGTTCCAAGAATTAGAATGAAGGGAAAGGCCCAGCCTGGGCTTTGAGTATGGTGTCAAAACTGACAGCAGTTTTACTAGGTTTTATTATTCTTAAAACACCTAAAGTTCTGTGTGCTGAGTACTTGATAAATATTAATTCATTTAATTCTCACAGCCCTGTGAGGTGGGTACAGTTATGCTCACTTTTACAGAAGTGGAAACCAAGGTTAAACTGAAGCCAGTAGCTTTCCCTGTGGTCTCAACAGCAAGCGGCAAGTGGCGGAGCCGCTGAGCAGAGGAGTCTGGCTCCAGAGGAGTGTTCGGAAACACTGCAGCCTGCTGCTTGTTTTGGTTCCCGAGGTATAAGAGATTCAGACCCAATGTTTACGACATTAAACATGGCTGGCCAGTGCTAAAAGCATGTCAGCTGCTCTGTGGCTCTGAGACCTAAAGCTATAGAACATACCTTTTAAAGTGTGTATTTACATAGTTTAGATCTGAGTATGTTACAGGATTGGGTGGCTGCATGCTGTTCCTGAAATGCTCTAGAGTGAGACAAGGAGCCAGCACCTAAAACCGGCCCCCATTTTATTGTGCAGTTAGGCCAGGTTTACGTCTGTCCCATGGGTGGTGTAAAACTAAGTTCCTTTAATTCATGTGAGTATTGATTGGGTATCTAATGTTGCTCAGGCTAGGTACTGCCTAACCTAGAGGTAAATGAATTCAAGTAAATGAATGTAATAAAGTGTTAAGCAGGAGAGAAGCAGAAGTGTTCCATTTTACCAGGGCTAAAGATGAGAGGGTTGGGAGGACTGTAAATAAGAGGGCCACTTGAGGTGATGACACATATAAAAGAGCCGTGTGTAATTCCATAAGTGTGGTGGAAAGGAAGAATCAAGGGAAGGGGAAAAACACATAATGAGCACCTCCTGTGTATAGAGGCACAATGTACACATTTACACATGGCCATTCAATCCTCAACGATGACTGTTTTTCTTTTTAAAGCTGGGAGCACAGGAGTGCTGTTTTCATATATATAAGGGCAATATGCTGTGGATGCCTCTTCGTAAGAGGTTGAAATAGCCTGGCTCAGCTGATGTGGTTCCAAAGCAAACTGAAGAAAACTGGCAGACCAGGCAATTACCCTGTCAGCTCTGTAAGTGCCAGTATATGTCCCCCGTCTCCACCAGTCCCCATCAGTATTACCTGGCATGTAGAATTTTGCTGAGTGAGCACGATTACTAGGGCTCAGTAAGAAGGTAAGTAAGCCGAGGGTTTTAGAAAAATACAAAAGTTTAATCTTTACATATGATACAATCATGTCAAGGTCCCTAACTTAAAAAAAAATTCTTTAATTTTAATTGATTTAAATCTGCAGAGCAAAACAAGTCTTAGCCTACACTGACCTGATTTAAAAAAAAAAAATCTTCCTCTGTGCACTTTTTCCTTCAGCCTGAGGCTCTTTCCTGATCTCACAGATAGAAGCTGATCAGCTTCCCTCTGGGAATAACAACTTGAAAGCTAACCCACCCAGTTCCTGCCACTGGTAAGCAGAAGTTCATTTTTCCCTTCTCTGTCACTGAGGATACTGCAGCCTCAGGCCCAACACCCAAGTCCAGGCATCTGCAGGCAGGAGCTGATATGCTAATAAATCCTTGGGATTTATCTCCCACATGACTTTCTCCAACCAGCTGGCCCACATTTTGGAATGTGGCTCTGTAAGGCACCAAGTGATTTTAAGAATTGGCTCTGTCTCTGATTTAAGGCCTCCCTTTCACACACCACTTGTGCTCGTGGCTGCTGGATGCTAGCCTGCCCCTCCAACCCGTTACATCCTGGCCAGTGTGCTGACAGGCCCCAGGATCCTATTAGTGGAAGGAAGGCAGCTTTGGGAAGTTTTCATCTAGCCCTCAAGGCAGGAAATAGTTAATTCTCTGGGAAACAGATTTGCATCCCTGAGAAGAGAAGAGTTGTTCCTCCTTGGGGACGTACACCATCATCTTGGCGATTTCATCTAGTGCCTCTTCCGTATACAGGAGCTCCTGGCTCAGGAAAGCATCACGTGCACACAGCCTCACGTGACGGTACTCCAGTGGCAGGAAGGGGATGAAGAAGTCAATCAGGTTTTCCTTCACAAGACAGCTGTGTCCAAAGCCACTGTCTAAAATCAAGAGCAAAGTTAACATGGAGTCTGACCTGGGGCTGAACCCAACTGGAATTGAGGTGTCCCCCACCCTTAGGCCTGGGCAAGGTTTGTTCTCATATGCCAACTCCAGGAGGGCTGTCTGAACTTTATGTCAAGAACTATGCAACTGTGTCTTCCTTTAGGGAAAGGGCCATGATTAACTGCATGTGTGAGAGGGGGAGAGGGGCTATGCCTGCCAGGTTATGGTTTCATTGGATGGCAGAAAGCAGAAGGTGGAGTGACCCTACCTATCCGACTGGAGGCACAGTGAGACTTTCTTCCTCAGGGTCTGCATACTCCATAGACCACTGCCTGTATGGCCACGGTCAACTACTCCCTTACAAAGGACTTTCAGAAAAGGACTTCAGCTTTCTTGGCACTTTTCTAGTGCCTATCTGAAGTTGACAATGAGATGATTATATGGCGCATCTTCTGTGATCCTGAATACCCTATCTCATGAGTATACCTTCTAGTACATACACATTACCCTCCTCCTCCCCTCTCAACAGAGGCTTATTTTCTGCAAGGCTGGGAGTCACTTACCTGTGGCTTCCACAATCCCAGCCTGGAGCTGGGGCTCCAAGTGCTCCATCCCAATTTCTTCCCGGGACCACCCAGCCTTAAGCAGGTTCAGGACTACCTCATTGATGATATTGCCCCCAAGGTTACTGAAAGAGACAAGCCCGGTTAACAGATTCTGTTGTTGATTTTTTTAAATTGAAGTAGAGTTGATTTACAATATTGGGTTAGTTTCAGATGAACAACAAAGTGATTTAGTTTTATATATATTTTTTCAGATTATTTTCCATTATAGGTGATTACAATATTGGGAAAATTTTCCATTATAGGTGATTATAATGTTGTTGGGAATATCATTCCCTGTGTTATACAGTAAATCCTTGTTGCTTATCTATTTTATATAGTATCTAAATCCCGTACCCCTAATTTATCACCCCCCCTTTCCCCTTTGGTAACCAGAACTTTGTTTTCTACATTTGTGGATCTATATATGTTTTGTATATAGATTCATTTGTATTATTTTTTTAGGTTCCATATATGTGATATCACATAATACCTGTCTTTTTCTGACTTACTTCACTTAGTATGATATTCTCTAGGTCCATCCAGCAAAGGCAATATTTCTTTATTATGGCCGGTTAACATTCCATATTGTGTGTGTGTGTTTGTGTATACCACATCTTCTTAAATGAATCATCTGTTGATAGGCATTTGGATTGTTTCCATGTCTTGGCTATTGTAGAGTGCTGCTATGAAAACGGGTGTTAAAGAACAGCACACTAGTGCTGCTAAAGAACACTGCATGTATCTTTTCAAATTAGAATTTTTATCATTTCTGGACATATGCTTAGGAGTGGGATTGCTGGATCACATGGTAGCTCTATTTTTAGTTTTCTGAGGAACCTCCAGTTTTCCATAGTGGCTGCACCAATTTACATTCCCACCAACAGTATAGGAAGGTTCCCTTTTCTCTACACCCTCTCCAGCATTTATTATTTGTAGACTTTTAGATGATAGCCATTCTGACCAGTGTGAGGTGATACCTCATTGTGGTTTTTTTTTCATTTATTTAATTAACTTATTTTTGGCTGCATTGGGTCTTCGTTGCTGCACACGGGCTTTCTCTAGTTGCGGTGAGCGGGGGCTGCTACTCATTGTGGTGCATGGGCTTCTCGTTGCAGTGGCTTCTCTTGTTGTGGAGCATGGGCTCTAGGCCTGTGGGCTGATCAGTAGTTGTGGCTCGCGGGCTCTAGAGTGCAGGCTCAGTAGTTGTGGAGCACAGGATTAGTCACTCCACGGCATGTGGGGTCTTCCCAGACCAGGGATCAAACCCATGTCCCCTGCATTGGCAGGTGGGTTCTTAACCACTGAGCCACCTCATTGCTTGGGTACTGTGAGGGGACCAGGGAAGTCCCCTCATTGTGGTTATGATGTACATTTCTCTAATAATTAGCAATGTTGAGCATCTTTGGATGTGCCTGTTGGCCATCTGTATGTCTTTGGAGAAATGTCTATTTAGGTCTTCTGACCAGTTTTTGATTTTTTTTTTTTGATACTGAGTTGTATGAGCTGTTTGTATCATCTTTCAGAAATTAAGCCCTTGTTGGTTGCATTACAAATATTTTCTCCCATTCCGTAGCAGGTTGTCTTTTCGTTTTGTTGATGGGTTCCTTTGCTGTGCAAAAGCTTTTAAGTTTGATTAGGTCCTATTTATTTTTGCTTTTATTTCTTTTGCCTTGGGAGACTGAGCCAAGAAAATATTGCCACAACTTATGTCAGAAAATGTTTTGCCTATGTTCTCTTCAAGGAGTTTTATGGTGTCATGTCTTAGATTTCATTATTTTTATATTTGGCTTCCAAATGGATAAGCTGACCACTGAGCTAGATTTTACCTGAGGCCATGAGCCCCCAGCTCAAGTTCAGCTGCTCAGCCAGACTTCCCCTGGCATCTATAGCTGGGGAAGCTGCTTATGACGACACTCTTCTATTTCCTGAAGCTGTGGCCCTACTCCTCCTCCTGCAGGAAGGCCTGCCAGGCAGGTCATCTGTGTACAGGCAAGACCACAGTTGCATCAGCTGAGGCAAGATCTGCCCACTGCCAAGGGATTGCCCAATCCTGCATTCCTCACAGGAGGCAAAGGAGGGTTTACCTTTCCATGGGCTGCAGGACAGGCATCCAGGGTGAAAGGGAGAGGAAGAGGATTCACTTGCTCAGCCCCAGGGGCACAGACTCTGGTGCCTTCCCCATTTCTACCAAGTTTCTTGAGAGCATAAGCTTAGCCTCTTTGTGGTAACCCAGTGCCTAGCACCTATCAGGCACTCAATATTTATTAAATGTTTGTTTACTGAATAAATGGACATCTCTGCATGTTTATCTACACTAGCTCCACCTCCCTTCTGAATTTCTCCTCTTCTTTTGTCCCACAGCCAATGTCTCTCTTCTTCCTCTATGTTACAGGCTTTATCTCACCCACCAATACATAACCTGGGCCCCTTTTCTATTCCAACCCCACCCCTAGTCTTCAGCTCCTCAGGCACCAACAATTACACCTTTAAACAGATGTTGCCTTCCTGGAACACTTCAATTCCCTTGCACAGCCTCCAAGGTTGCCTGCTGACTCGGAGGTCTGAAGGGATCAAGGGACAGAAGGCACCTCTAGAGGCGAACTCTGTCCCCCTGGCTCCGGGACAGGACGACATGAAATCTCACCACAGAGGAAGGAGGCTCAAAGATCTCTCCAGAACTGTGATCACAAAACCCAGCCTTAACTGCTAAGTTTTCCCTGAAGAAGAGATACAAACTTGACTCAATCATAATCTCTCTGAACCTTAGTTTCCTAATTTGTAAGATGAGAGACTTGAAGCAGACAATTTAAGAAGCACTCCTTAGGTCACCTTGGATTCAGTGGTCAGTCAACAAATAGACACTTCTGTGAGCACCTGCTATGTGCTGGGGTACAAGGCCTTTGATTCCATGAATAACTGACATTTGTATAGTTCTCTGCATTTTTCAAAGCCCTTTCTATCCATTCTTTTTCTGATAGCAGCCCAAAGAGAACAAGCATTAATTACCCTCTTCACTTTATAGCTTCAACGGAAGAGGCCAGTAGCTCTGATCCCCAGAGTTCCACTCTGCCTGTCCTGCCCCGTGACTCCATTCCCAGAGCCTTCTGTACTTAGTAGAAATGGGCAAAAGTAGTCAGTTAGTAGTTAGTCAATGTTTAACTACTAACCAAGTAGTTAGTTAGTACTTGGCCAGGGGCCCCAAATTCCTCAGGCCCAGATGAAGGACTGGCTGAGTGCTGGGGCAACTCTAGCCATAGACCCGCTCCCCACTGCACCCCCTGCTTCAGCTGCCACCTCCTCCTTTCCGCCATCCGACACCACCACTTTGCAGGGGGGCCAGCAGAGCTGCTAGGACTTCACTTCAAATAGCAGGTTTAGGATTTTTTTCAGGATTAAACTACTGGCCTTACACTAGTGATTTGTTTACACCATCAATTTGAATCAGCTGTGCTTTTCTTTTAAATATAAGAGTCCTCACCACACAGGTAAGGTTATTGTAGAAATCAAGTCCAGAGACACCATCTTCCCCCCCCCCCATCACTAGACTAGCTGAAAACTGGGGTTTAGAGGTGCTGCTTTCTGGCTGCCTGAGGCAGGGGTGCAAGGTGCTGCACTGCACTGACAGCCTGGCTGGCCCACAGGCTCCAGACAGTCCACCCAGGCCTGTTGGGGACCACTGGCTCTCACAGGCCGGGCCCACACCAGGGCCACTGGAACTGGAAGCCATGTCCTCGCCTCTCAGTCACCAGTGTGCATCCTCCTCCCTAGGGGCTCAAAGGCTCCCTCAGGGCCAGTGCAGCCTCTGCATCCCCTGCCACAGTAGGCCCAAAGGGTAGCTTGTCCACAGTGGCTCTCTTCCTGGCCCTGCCTCCACTCTGCCAGTGTCTGCTCATCAGGACCCCGTGGTCTCAGTGCACAGACGCCGGGTCACTAGGGGGAAAGGGCAGGTGGTGGGACAGGGGCACTGCCAGCAGGTCAATGACCAAAATACTACAAATGCAAATATTTGCCTAGAGATAGCAGAGTCACCTGGGTTGCATTAGGAAATCCTGGCAACAGCAAGGGTGAGGATTTTGAAGCTGAGAACTGGTGGGGAAGTCAGAGCCGAGCTGGGGAAAGGTCAGCCACAGCCACAAGGCAGAAGCAGGCTTGGCCTGGTAAGAGGAAGGAGCCAGGCAGTGGAGGGGGGCAGAAGCCACGCATGAAGTCAAAGGATCCCTGCAATAGAAAGGGCGTCCTGAGGTAGCTGGGCACTAGGCTTCCTTCTGTTCTGAGGGAAGGACTCTGCCTGCAGGAATGGTTCCAGGGGTCCCCTGCCCCCACCTCCTGCCAGGGCTTGGGTGGAGAAGTCTTGGGGAACCAAGGTGATTCCTTATTTTGCCTCCTCTGCATTTTGGAGCCCCTACCTAATTCACTGCAACAGGAAGAGATCTGTACTTCTGGGCTACCTCAGAAGGTGATAAGTAGTATCACAGAGTTTACTGTCCTTGCCTCCTAATTCTGATCACTCAAGTCATATCAGAAAATCTTTCTCTGCTTTTCTCTGAAAATCACCTTTGGGGGCTCCCAAAGGCCCTCCTTTGCAATGCATTGTAGCGTCCCGTCAGCCTTATTTACAGACCAGGAAGGACTTGCCACTAACACACCAAAATCGCAACAGTTTAAACCGGTTCCACCTTGTCTTGTGGGTCCACAATGAACCAAGATCTGCCCTCCACAGCTCACTCCTTCACACATTCCAAGCCTGGATGAAAAACCAGACCCCTCACTTCTCCTCACAGGGTGTACCCTAAAGCTGGGGGAAATCCCCTAGCAAGCATGTACTGCGGGAGGTGGGTGACAGGGGGGAGGAGTGGTTTGGCTTGCACTGAGTGCAAGAAGCTGCTTGTGAAGCATTCAAGTTGGGCCAACAGGGACCCAAACTTGACTGCTAACAGACCTTAGGCAGGACTTTCTGTTGGAACTGCCATAAAAAGATAGGATTGGACAGCTTGATTTCAAAATTAACTTTTTGCAAGCCATTTCTAGAGCCTGTGGCACACAGTAAGAGGGAACTCCTAGTGTGTACATTTCCAACTATATT